TGGTCAATCAGAGCACACCTCGCTTTTCAGAACAATGAGCTTTGTAAAAATCAGAAAAAAAATTGTTTCAGAAAGCTTAGAGGAGAAACAATAATGTGTTTTTTTAACCTTAAACCGCATAAACACATTTCATTACACCAAATACACAAAATAATGTTCTTTTTTACCAATGTCATATGACCCCTTTAATATGCGTTTCCCGAAAGGTTCTTAGTTAAGTATACCTAAATGTACACCAGCTGGCAAAAAAATTAGGCAGTAAAGGCTTAGGAGTCTATTTAAAGGGAATGATTGTGGTAGGGAGTTTGGTCAAACTATGGCAGCGATACAGCGAATAGATGTGCTAAATCAAAGATGGTACCATCCGCAGAGCCATTTAGTGTATGTGCACTATTTAATGTGTGAAAACTTTAGTCCCCTGGCTACCATGTCAGAAGCTGCAATTCTAAAAAAAAAAATTTGCCTTTCACGGCAGCAATTTCAGCAGCTTTTATATTTTGTTGGTGCTGCTGGTGGCTCTCCTCTTTTTTTTTCTCCGCCATAGTTGCTGTTGATTATATGTTTCCAGTGTGGCGCTTTTATTGAGTAGGTCAACCATTAACAGAAATTAGTGATTTACACCAATAATGTGGTGCGGCTGCTGGGCAATCAACCGTGGTTGTGAAGTAAATGAAGACACTATGGCAAATTTATAATGCTAATATAAATGACCCTTTCAAAGGCCAGTGAAGGCATACTGCCAGTTAGTGTTGTCAGGGCCAGATTTAACTCTTATTGTGACATAGGCAAAAAAAATATAGGTAATAATTAACATATATTATTACCACCCAAAAACAAACAAAAACTATAAATAACTATAAAACAAAAACTATAAATACTATAATATAAGCAAACAAAAATTATAATCCATGGAAATCATTACAGTGTTCTCTATCGCAGAATCCCATTGCTGATTACAAAACATAATTTTATTGTACAGCTACTGGACTGTGAGTCTGTACTGTATATGTGTGCTTTTTTATGAGAAAGTGTGGAAGAAAGAAAGTTTTTTGTAGATAATAAAACATAATTTGGTGTGGAAAACATGGAAATAGTTTGTTGTTTTTGTCGTATTGTTTGTAATATGTATTTGCTTGGTTAATGTCTTTTCAAATTTTGGTTCTTTTGATGTTGTAGGTAGTCCATAGAATAAATAATTATTTCTCCTCATTGTAATTGGGCCCCCCGGGATGTGCGAGCATAGGCACATGTACGGTGGACCAGAAGTGCGAAGCAAATCACAATTCTGAAAACAAAATAACAAATTACAAATGCAAATCTAAAAAACAAAATAACAATTCAGAAAGCACATCAACAATTCAGAAAACATTATAACAAGTCAGAAAACACAATGACAAATTCGAAAACAAAATCATGCCTAGAATGCCTATATGCATAAATCCGGCCCTGAGTGAAGTGGATTGAGGCATGATACTTTTGGGCATGAGGTTTCGTGTTTCGAAATTATATAAAATATCCAGGGCTGGATTTAGTTTGCAATTTGGATTATTTTTTAAGATCCCATGAGTCCTGATAAATGCAATTTCAACTATTTCTGAAGTGTTTCTTTTATAAAGAACACCGCTTTCTCACATAACGCTGTGAAGCAGCCCCTGCATAGATTGAATAATCGATTTTCAAACCATCGACATCAATCTATTTAGCACCACTGCCACAGACAGCACTTGATAACGTTGCACGTAAGAAGCAACCTCCTAAGGCAGGGGTGTCCAGACTCAGGTCCTGGAGGGCCAGTGTCCTGCAGAGTTTTGCTCCAACTTTCCTCAACACACCTGCCGGGAAGTTTCTAGCATGCCTAGTAAGAGCTTAATTAGCTTGTTCAGATGTGTCTAATTGGGGTTGGAGCTAAACTCTGCAGGACACCGGCCCTCCAGGACCGAGTTTGGCCACCCCTGTCCTAAGGTATAGTTCGCGGAATAATCCTAGAAAAGGTATACCTTTAGTTTAAGTATACATTTAGGGTCTTCATAGCGCAGTAAGAGACAACGTTATCGGGAAACGAAAGTCAGTTTGAATGGGTATGCCGCTTATGATTAGAACTTCTCCATCTTGGAATGCATGAGCTTTTCTCTCAATGTCAATGCAGTTCATCCATGACTTGCAATGCTACGTTCACCCCAACGCCTATTTCAGTTGTTTACCTACAACCTGACAATCAGTTTACAACAACAACTGCCTCCCTCTCTCTGTTGCCAGCATGTTCTTTTCTACAGTTGACCTGCTCACCTCAGTTCTGCAGCAGCGTAGTGTGCTTGATGTGCAGGTCAGTATCGATTTTCAGGATTGAGAGAAAACTCAGCAGCTTTATCATTCTCCATCTCCCCCTCTCTGGCTTTCTTCCAGACTTTACACATCTCTTCAATGTTATCCCTTGTTTATTCCTTTTTATGTGTGACTTATAGATTTCCTTCTGCTAGCTCTTATCTATCAATGTTTCTTTTTTTAGCATTGGAGCCCGTAATCCAAGCATACTCTGATCATACCAGGTCATCAGGGCACATTGTCTTATTTTAACTACCAATCTGTGGTGGAAACTTTCATGTACATGCAGACTACAAATAGAAATCTGCGATATGGGCCGCATACCAATTTGCATTTGTCACTGACACTGTAATGGACTTGAAATGATGAGACACAGCCCCCAAAGATTTTAATAATAATTAAATAATAATTAAAATAAAAATATTAAAATAATAATTAAAAAAAAAAGTTTTTCAAGTCATTAAACGATAGATTCTTTGTGAATCCTTTAATTTAACAAAAGTGATTGATAAAACCCTACTCATTAACATCATGTCATTTCAAGTCATTTTAAAACTCTCTTGTCTGACTTGTCACCTATATTTCACTACTGTACGTCAAAACACAATTTTAAGATTTAGTAGTTTGTCCCAGATCTTACATACTGCCTCATAAATACTTACAACTATGCACTTTTCTATCTCTAGTCAAGTATGCACTTTTAGTGCAGAGTAGAAGTATGTAAATTGGGATGCAGCTTTGAGCTAAACTTTTAATGACAAGAATGACTTGACTCAGTCTTGCCTATTCAAACACAAAAACATATGCTCTCTGCAAACATCAGTGCAAGTCTCAATCAGTGTTGGCAGTGACAAAGAGCATTTTGTCTCCTTGAAATCCGCCCATGCACACTTGATAAATTAGTAGTAAAACATATTCAAGTAAGAATATTTAAACTTACATGGTCTCATCATTGAGGAACTCCAGTTTGCCAGCCACCTCTTCATAGTCTTCTCCAGCTTTGGAGGTTCCTTCGGTAGTGTGGTACGGTACTGCCACCTTCCCCCTCGCTCCAGATGTTCTGTGGACCTTCACCTGCATGATGCCCACGCTTTCACTCACTCGTGTGGAATTGCTCTCGAACGTGAAGATCCCCGCGTGGTCGTCATCGTAAATGGTCACCGTGGCAGTGTGTGCGTTACCCAGGGCAGCTTTTGGAGCAACGTGGCTGGACGCCATAATGCTGTTGCCTGGAGACACCGCATTAGGGTCGAGGACGGAGACCTCGGCACGGTGGACAACACGAGGGTTGCTGAGATTTACATAGAAATGCTCATCTTCCTCAAATATGTCATCGTCAATCACGCCAACTGTCAGCTCCTTCACCGTCTCACCTGGTTTAAAGACCAGAGTGCCCTCGGCGAATTCATAGTCTGATCCTGCGTTAGCAGTGCCATCCTCTGTGCGATAGTCAACCTAGACACAGGAACAGTTTCTACTGTCATACAGCTGAAGTGCTGAGGAAGCAATGCTATCTTTTTATGTTCAAGAGGAACAGTGAGTGAATGGGAAAAAAATTCTTATTCTGTTTTAATGTAACTTTTTGCATAGGATGTGTGATAATTTAAAGATTCCAAGAACAACAATTAATAATAACAAATAATAATTAATAACAATAATAAAATCAAATATTAATCGTATTATATAATAATAACAGACATTTATATTTTATAAACTTATTATAATTGTTATGCTGTATTGTTGTTATTATTATTATTATTATTATTATTATTATACTGAATAATAATAAAAATAATAATAACTTATTTTGACTGATCATATCACATAATAATAACAACAGATATTTTTTTATTTTATTAACTTCTAATAATTATTATTTGGTATTATTATGAATCATATAACCAAATAATAACAAAATTATATATATTTTTTAAAATAATTATTATGTGGTAATAATAATATTAATATTAATGATAATATAGTATATTTCATCGTCTTATCAACACCACTTAAAATAACTGAATCAAATTTCCCGTGGTAAACTTCACAATTGAAAGGTTTAAATAATAAAATGTGCTAATCTGAAATCTGTTAAAACAGTGTCATTTAACTGCTCATCTCCTAAGTGCTGTAATTATTTAAAATAGCTCTGAGAGTACATCCTCTCTGGGAATCATGTAGGTTTCTGGCCTCAAAATTATATCACATCCATATAATTAAAGTACAATCACAGCAATGTAATCACAGTACTGTTGGGTAAAGACAGCAGAATCATTACCTTGACAGTGCAGCCACTGTCTCCACCATGTCGGGTCACGGAGAGTTTTAAGGAGCCACAGTTCTCAAAGCATTGGTAATGGGAAGGCTCAAACTCCAGGTAGATGGTGTGAGGGTCTTCTTCCTGGGCATTAGACTCATGGCAGCTAACCACCTTCCTGGCTTGGTCTGCAGCATGCTTCTTCAGGATGTTCCCTGCTCCGATCATCATGCGGGTGGCCTGGATGCGATAAAAAGCTCGACTCTTCTGCTGTTGCACAAGCACTTGATAGTTTGCCATCTCGATCAGCTGCTCCATGTCCTTCTCCGGGTGTCTTTGCTTGAGCTCCTTCAGAGTACGAGCCATGTCCCTCCTGGCCTCCTCTTCTTCCCCTCCACCTCCTCCACCACCTCCTTCCTCCACACCGGCCAGCATCCCATCAAGTGCCTCCTTGTGGTGGGAATTGGCACCTTGGCCGTCCATCTCCATATCCATCTTGGTGAACATGCCGTCACCCTCCGTCTCAATGATGATGCCACGGTTCTTGTCAGCACGGTAGCGCTTGTGGACGTATTTGTAAAAGAGCAAGCGACGGTCAGCGATCCAGGCTTGAACCACACAGAGTGGAAAGAAGAGGAAAGTAAGCACGGCCTCCCAGACTTCCACCACGCCGGGAGAGAAGACAGAGAGGATCAAGTAGAGCCAAATGTAGGCGAATATGCTCCAGGCTGCCGTCACAAAGAAGACCCTCAAGTGCTTGATTTTGCGTATCTCACCATCTGGGACCACGTAAACACAGATGGCGATGATGATGAACATGTTGAATGCAGCACTACCCACAATTGTGCTCGGGCCCAGGTGACCAGCCTCAAACTTGTGCCCGCATACCTCAATCACGGATAACAGGATCTCAGGGGCCGACGATCCCAAAGCCATGAGGGTCAAGTTGGACACGGTCTCATTCCAGATGCGTACGGTAGCAGTGGTGGTCTCACCGTTGGGTTTCTTGATCGTTATCTCCTTCTCTTGAGACGTAATCACCTCGATGGATGACATGAACCGGTCGGCGATGATGGACATGCCCAAGAACATGTAGACGAGGGCCACAAAGTAGACGATGGCACGTGCCACCTTGTCGCCCACAGAGGGGTTCTGGGGGTTCCATACCGGCAGGACGACACCATCAGAGCAGCTGTCCTCTCCTGAACAGTTCCCCGGGCTGCTGTGGGACACATCGCCACCGGCCTGAGACAGATGGGCGAGGCCCAAGAGGAAGATCAGGAGGAGGAGAGAGGAAAGGCAAGGAGTGAAGTAGAAAGGGGTCGACGGAAGGCGCAAATGAAGCATGGTGGCAGCGTAGCGGTAACTGTGTCTACCAGTCGCAGAGATGACGATCAATAAACCTCTGTAACACACAAAAGCAACAGAATATTCACATTGGTGAGAATGACAATTCAGAAAAGACCTGTTAAGTGTATCTAAATGTAACATTCACATTAAGAACAGCTTCAAAGTAGAGGTCTGTATTCCAGCAGGACCTGACGCAACTGAGTGAAGTTTTGAATTGCTGAGTGAGAGTGGGAAGATAATGCTTTGTGTGCTGGAAATGGGAGAAAGAAATGACTGGTGGGACTCAAACAAAATATAAATATCTAAATTAAAGTTACTTAAATTTATTTTATTTTATGGCACAAGCATTGTGTGTGTGGGAATCAGAAAAAAAGCCTATGACACCAGGGTGAGACAGAATCATACTGAAACAGGACAGAAAATTTTGCATTGATCTCAACCTGCGGGATTTTGCAGGCGGGAGCGGGACAAAGTGTAAAATTTGCGGGCAGGAGCTAGTAAGAAATATAACATATTTTTAATGGGAATAGGATAGAAAAATCTGAAAAATTCCACACAGACCTCTACTTCATTGCTTCAAACATCACCTGAAACAGATTCATTCAGGGAGAATGGGGTTGCTGTTGGTTGCAAACAGACTTCCTGACAGCACAAGACAGCTTGCATCATGGTGAACTCTTAGAAGGGTTGCGTCTCAGAGAGCACAAGCTAGTCAACCCTATAACAATATGATCATGCCTGACAAACTGTACACATCTGACGATTACAAGGAACCAAAACATAAAAATGCAACAATACCTCATATAATATAGAAATAAGACCTCATCCATTTTATATTGTATTCACTTTTGAGTTAAGCCTCTTAGTCTTATGGCGCTTTTCCACTGCATGGTACGGCACGGTACGGCTCGGTACGGTTCACTGAGATCTGTTTTCAGGAAGAAAATCAAATAAAAGTTGTTGACATGTTATATCAAATAATCCACAGTGATATAAGGATCTTTTGTTGTTGTTGTTTTTTAAAGGGGTCATATGATACGATTTCAAGTTTTCCTTTCTCTTTAGAGTGTTACTTGTTGCTGCCGCCATGTTGTGAAGACGCTGTGTGTTTCGTTGCCAAAGCGAAAATACTTTGTTTGGCCTTCCAAAATCACGACTAGAGATCAGTGGTTAAGTTGTATTTACAACACTGTTCCAGAACAGTTCAACCCAAATATTCCGATGTGTGCAGCGCAATTTTTGGAGGACTGTTTCCTGATCTTGGTAGAGTAGACCAGTGTTTCCCAACACTTTTTTTAGTCGCGGCACCCTTTGGAAATTTTAACAAACTTGTGGCACCCTACAAAATTTATTTTGTCACAATATTTGAAAAATATATATTTGAATATTTGAATTTCTAACTTCGATATGATAATTTGAAAAGTATAGATATTCGGTACAACAGGGAAGAACTGCAGAATATAATGTCATACA